CTAAAACAATTAGACCCTTCGCCCTCAAGGGCCACGGGTCAATAGCCCATTCGGCTTCGCCTCATGGGCTATTGACACGTAGCCCTTGCGGGCTACGGGTCTAATTGTTAAATAGTGAGTAGTGTAGCCGATAAGAAAACGGTATTTCATTTAAATTTGTAAGAGAACCTGGTAGATTTATACTTGTATCTATTAAATTTGTATAGCGGAAAGGTACAAGATGTGGACATTTTCCTCTGTTTCAGGGACAAAACAACCTGTTTCACACCATCATTTTCTTCCTTCATCACGTGAAAACCAAGCAGTATGGAATGTTGGGGTAAGTTAATCGCTTATGTTTTTGACTTTTTGTTTAGTTGAAGTCAAGAAATAGCAAATGGTCCTTCTGTTTACAAAGCGACAAACAGCTATGGCGTTTATGACATGAAACTAATGCTGCTTTGTGTTTTTCCAGGCGGGTCAACTTAGGAATGTCTGGTGTGAATATTCTCTGCATTCTGAACAAGAAATGAAACTCCCCGCTTCTGCTAACTACTCCAAACTGTCAAACGAGAAAGAAAGACCGTTATCCAACAAGAGCTGTCACGTGAGTAGTACGTGAGTTACACGTGACATGATTGCTATGAAAAGATGAAGTGAGATGCCTGTATCCTTGTCCAGCCGCAGTTTTCGTCCTGGTCATGCGATTGCGGTCTCCTGACGTGATACAAAACATGGGCAGTGTATTTTCCAGCTGACGCTGACGGACTTTCTCGCGTGTTAAATGTGGGTAAAGAGAAAAGAACAGCAGATTCAAACATTATTTGTTTATGTACGGATAATTTACCCAGACAAAATATTATATATAAGAGAACTGTATTTCGTTGTGGAATCGTGTACACACTGAACATTGTTGGAGCATCTTAGTCAGTATGTCAGCCAGAATTGTCGAGTTCTTCTAATTCAAGAATAATCTGTTTTTCTGAGATTATTTGTTAAGACCATCCACGTCAGATTTTAATTTTCGTTGTAGTTTTTAATGCTTCAATTTTTCCAAGTTTTCTTTGCCATGCTTTCTGTAAACAGTCAGGGTTTAAGGAGGCTTTTTTGCTTGTCGTCCCCAGTAGTTCGAACTTTTTTATTAGGTCACTAAGAACTAAATAAATGACTCAAACAGTGACCCGAACAATAACTGCTGCAGGTTTCCGGAATCATTTAAATAGGGGTCTGGAAGTTACAACGACGACGCAAAGCCATTGCAAAGAACGTGGGAGAATGTTCGGAGTACTCATGAGTACTCGGTCTTGTTTCTGATTGGTTAACGGTAATTGAAAACCCTCCGAAAGCTTGACGGAGATTTGTGTAAACAGCTTTTGTATCCCGACTGTTGAAAGTTTTCAGTTATAAAGTCATGCAAGTTTTATTTTACGAGAAAATCTTTTCTGTAACATCTTTTTTTTTTCAAAACCAAGGCAATAAAATTTCCTTTTCAAAGTTTCATTGAATGAAGCTCCGCAAATTCTTTCAAGGTGGTTACTTCTCTTAGCAAAAAAAGCTCTAGCGCTGGCCTTTCCCCTCCCTTAATTTAAACGTTTTGGGCTTCGCTGATACAGGAAAGGGTGGTAAAGGTCAGCTCGAGCCTTTTGCAAGCTTATCAGAGTTGCCACAGGGAAAAAATATTCTTCAAGGTCAGGGAAAAGTCAAGAAATTTTATTTCGAGTCAGGGAAAAACCTTTTGTAGGAAAGTCAGGGAAAATTGAAATATTTTTAATACGGCTGATTTAATATTATTGAAGGCCACAAGAAACATTGGATCACTGATCTCAATGATATTTTTTCTCAATAAAGAAGGAAAATTTGTCGAAAAAAAAAATTGTCACTCTTAATGAAGGAGTGGAAGAAGCCGCTACTACATGTAGACCTGGCAATTTGCATTTCTTTGGTCAGGGAAATTTTATTTTTATCAAGGAAAAGTCGGAATTTGGCGACCATGTTTATGGCCTCGGCTGCAGCTCTTGATTCCCGAACATGCAAAGCCAGGTCAGTACCCATTGCGGACCTACACCTGTTCAATCACGTCTTTGTTAGCGGAAATTTAACCCTGTAATGTATACCAGCGGTATGTATAGCCTGTGTCCCAGCCGCCTCTCCCCGGGCTACGGTATGTACTGTCTGCGAAGCAGGCTTCAAGTAGTCGTTATAAGACTTTCAAAACTGTTGCGAAAAGCCGGCAAATCACGCAATAAGTTTAGAAGAATGCGAAACTTGTGTCACAGAGCTGGCCACAAATCGCGGAATAACTAAGCTAAATCGCGCGTATTTAGCCCCCCTACAGTTCACGCCGCAATCCTTGTCAGGTATTTCGCCGGTTGCGTGCACAAGATGACTGACAAAACTGTGTGATTACTGATCGGAAGTATCTAGTGTTCATAGACCATGATGGCGTCAATTTTGATAAGAAAGAAATTTTTCATTCGCCTTCTCGGTGTCCTAGCTGTTGCATCTTCTCTGTCGTTATTTACGTGGACTTTGACACATGAACGGATCCACACGGACGAGGAGAGATCGCGCAAATCAGAACGGTTGAGGCAAGATAGCAGTTTTGTCGTGACTCGGGCCACCGAAAATCGAGCTATCATCTCGCATACTGCTCTGCGAGGGAACGTTCTCGCGAAAGCAACAGCAAGATCGTCTCCCAGTCAAACTGCTCGGCAAGAGAACGTGAAACTGTCGAGATCGTCTCTCATCCAAACTGCGCGGCTGGCGGACATGAAAACGTCAGTACGAAGACTTATCATCGTAGGGCAAGCTCGCACGGGATCATCGTTTCTTGGGGATGCTTTCAATCAACATCCAGATGTGTTTTACTTGTTTGAGCCTCTGTATGGCATCGCTCCACCAAAGCAACCTAACGACCCAAGACCGATGAAATTCCTTGAAGGAATGCTGCGCTGTAAATTCGAATTTCCACAATATATTCAAGAAATTGAGAAGTTCAGGAGACTCTCCAGCAAAGCGCTTTCGTCTCCGCCATTATGCGCCGCGAAAAACCAGAATCAAAGCAAGAAGAAATTGCAATGCGTGCACTTAAATCCCTACAATATGAAATCTGTCTGCAAAAACTACAGTAAAACAGTCTTGAAAATTCTCACTGCGAGAATCCCCAGCTTTCGGGTCGACTCGCTGTTCCCGCTGTGTAATTCGAGTGATTGCGGGATTATTTATCTGGTTCGGGATCCTCGCTCGCTAGTCTTTTCTCATATGAAAGTTGGTTTTGTTTGGGCTTCCCGCAAAACAAACACTCCTTCGCCTCAACCGGTCATCAGACAATACAGCAAAACTATTTGCCAACAAGTGGAGGAAAATGTGAGGATATTTGAAAACCGACCGAGCTGGATGAAGCCCCGATCATATATGCTTCGATACGAGGACCTTGCTAGAAATCCCGTAGAAATCCTACGAAGAGTTTATAAAATCACAGGACTTGATATGCAACAGAGTTCTCTCGACTGGATAAAAGCTCACACTGGCGAGGGCGCAATCAACGAGAAGGAAGAAAAAAATCACTTCTCAACGAACAGAAACTCAAAAGTTGTTGTCGACAAATGGAGGGTTGACATGGACCCGTGTATTGTAAATATTATAGAAGAAAGCTGTCAATCTCTTATGAGACTCCTCGGTTATAGACCGGTGAATGGGTCAGATACAACACAATATGACCTCGCCGTATCACTTTCAGACGGATAACAGCTTATTTTAAATACCCTGTTGTTTGCAAATCTGTCTCCACGGAACTATAAATATTCCCCCTCACCATTGAAATCCATGACGAAAAAAACCCTGATATGATAATACACCCCGTCTGTCCAAAAATGAACTTATTTGGAACGACATTAGAGCTTGCTTGTCTCATACAGTAATGACATTTCTAAAAACAAAGACATCAGGGATCATTATCAGAATTTTAACTGTGTATTCAAAATGATATTGTTACTTTTAGAAATATATTCAAAGTTTAACAACGTTGTAAAAATTCTTTTAGTCTTGTAGACTTATTTTAGCTAAGTATAGCGCCGGTGACCCTGACCCTAATCCAGTCATTGGATTATTTTTGAGGAGGGGTGGGAAGAAGGCTCTCTCGAGTCCTCTGGACTACGTTCCATCCACGGGGGAAGGGCGCCGGCTCCTTTCCCGACCAGCGGCTGGCAATCTAGTCTCCTATGGGAGAGGAAGATTGCGTGACGAGCCTAAAGAGCCTCTGTGTAATCCTCTGTGTAGGAGGCTACTGGTGATGTAATCGGATTGGGCAATTTTTTAGGTGATGACGTAAGTCCGTTGGGCCGGGACGTTTACGATTTATCCTTGTAACTGAGGTAATATGTATAGTGAATCATGGGAGCGCTAGAAAATCGAAAAAATTAGAAAACAATCTTCCCAGTTAAATAAACTCGGCCTGATCTATGACATTTTGCTGGTCGATGAAGCTCATTTGTTATCAAATAAGCAACACAAATATAAGGAACACAAAAAGCAGTAATTACAATCGTGAGAGATGGAGGGCTGAAAATCGACTGACAGAAATTTACATTTTATCAGAGAAAAAGTGATTAATGTGATAGTGAATTCAGGATAACTCTAGTACCTCCCTGAATTAAATACTCTGATTTTCTTTTCTCGTTCATGAAATACGTGGTGTTGACTACGTTACTTGTTTCAGATGTTTCAACCTCCTTATGATTGGAATAATGTGCCTCTATCACGATTTGCCAGTGGAGAGGTTTAAAATCAAAATCACACTTATTTCCACAAAAGATAAATGAGATACAATTTTACCACAAATCGAAGATAAAACCACAGCGAAGACCAGCTTGAAATCTTTTCAAATAAAGCTTGATTTTTTTGTTTTTATTTTTTCTTAGCTCTTAGTGACGAAAGACGTAAAGCGCGAAATTCCTCAGGTCGTCATGGCAATTTTTAAATCCACTAATGTTGTTGGTATTGTTTTGTGAAATTAAAAGACAAAATACATCCTTACAATTTTCCATTTCCAAATGTATTTCCTTATAAATAGGAACACGATTTATGAATTTAAAAGATTACAAACTTATTCCGTTTGAAGGTAAGTTAAGCTGGCTTTCTGAATCTCGCGCGATTAACTAGTGATTCGGTTAAGCCTCAGTAAACGAAATCGGTCATTGCAGTTTGAAATATGTTTCGTGCGATTTCTAGGATAATATGAAGCGGTTTTTTGCACATATGACGCTAGTCTAAAATAATTATTTGCTATATTCAGTACCAACGAGAAAGAGCAATTATCTTTTCTGAAAACATAAAGAGATGGGACAGACTAGATTGGCCTGTAAATCTATTAAAAGTTAAGAACGAGTACAGACATTTTCCTCTTAGATCTCAAAGCTAAAAAAGCTGCTTATTTATTCATAATCATACCAAAGTATCACTTCTGAACGTAAATTTCAGAAAATATCTCATTCGTGAGGCAATCACTTGCAATTAATTGCCTACATAGTTATTTTATGACAAAGCTTGAATGTCGCAGTAAACATAGACTTTCTCCATTGCATATCGATTTCCACATATTCTGAAAATCTTAAAATCAGGGAAGTCAGCTAGTGGGAAATGGATTTTTCTTCACTGGCCTTCCTTTAGCATGAATCGCTGTCTCCCGACCATAAAAAACATACTGACGTGCTTGATATATTTTGTGAGAAGTAATTACGACAGTAGTTAAAAAGCAGTATTCCTCATTGGCTCGCGTTCTTTTTAACGTCCCTTTGTGATATATCAGGCACTTACCACCTTTTCAAAAGAAATCGTTTTCAGCTGCATGCAGGACAGCAAAATGCAAATTTTTCACTTCTGTTTTAGTTACGAATGTTTTTTTTTTATTTTTTTTACAGGTCATGAAATTGTTTGGCTTCATGTGATCTCAATGGTAAGGATACAAAATATCATTGGCAAGGTTATCACCCCACACTGTTTTACTACTTTGGGCAATCTGTGGACTGAACATATGTTAACCGACAAGTAAATAAGTGGAATGCTTCATCAAAGTATCAGTCGATACCGGATGTTATCAGACCGGTAGATTTATTTTCCCTCTTCATATATATTGTCAACAGAACCTTCTTAACAATCGGGCAAAAAGTCTAACTAGCTTTTTGGCGTTTGGTTAGAAAGTAAAAGATTAAATTGCAGTGATTCTAAAACTAAAAAACTATATCTTAAGCCATAAGCAAATATAATTACACTGAAAAGCGATCAACTAGTCGTTTCAGTCTATCAAAACGTTTATAATAAAATACAGTTTTATCGGATTTCTAGATTTGACTTTAATTCAGTGTCCGATCAGTTCATATTTTCGTTCTTTCATAGATAAAACTCCTGAACTTTGTCCACAGAGCATACATTTCATTCAAATCTCATTTTGAAGCATCCTCAATAAGTTTCCTGCTTTCAGAACACACTTCCGAGCATTTCCAGTCGCCCTCTTGTTTATTTTAAACTTTCTGGTTTACGCCTTCAGCACCAAACGCAAAATGTCTAAGCAACTTTCCAGCTTTATACATGACCTGACTTCGCTGCAACGCGATTCTTCATATGACTGGTTCAGCTGGTCGCCAACGAGCGCCAGTTTTCCGGCAACAAATTTAATTGCCTCTGCATTTTCTTTATTAGTAAAGCCTCGTTCTGTGCGAGCAGAGAGGTCACTTGGGTGATTCATAATTTGCTCAGATTATTAAAAATTCCCCTAATGGTCTGCAGATCCTGTGAAAAGAAGCATAAAATTATTACATTCAGTAAAATGCCCCGCTGTTTTCGCTGACCCAGCATGATCTATCGCAACGTCGATATGAAGGGATTCTGAAGATATGAAGTTGGGAGTCGGTGTTACAAAACGTAATGTTTGAAGAAAAATCTGAGTAAGGAATGAAATAGCGATGATCGGGCTGGCAAAGCAAAAATCCTTCAACGAGACAAATCTTTCTCTTATGCAGTTTCATTTTGATGCAAATTGCCAGAATATTTTGTTAAAATGACCTCTAAAAATCCAACTTACCTAGCCAAGAATGATTTCGAAGGGATCAATGTTTCAGTGTTCCTCTCCTCACCGAAGCTGGTAGTTATGAATTCATCAAGGTGTGGGACCCTTTTATTGCCCACGGCAACCTCCAAAAATCACGAAACACGAAACAAATAACATAAAATATCACGCAACACAAAATCGTGTTTGTAACCCTTAGCAACAATACTTCACGATAGAGCTTTTTGGAACAACATCACGAGACAAAATTTTAGCCAAAAAAAGTTCAGATTATACTATTAGTGCATAGATTTCAACCATTTGAACTGTATTTGTTCACATGATACTACGAACCTCTCATAGTAAAGGTGAAAGCTCGCTCTGTGATCTTTAAGTTATCTGCTGTTTTCATGAGGTTAGTAAGGACGCACACCTTAAAAACAATCAAAGCGACATAGATAATGGTTTTTACTCACGTTATCTTTTTCATGCAAATGTTTTTGACAAATATTATGATTATTATTCTGATGACTGCAAGAATAGCTAAGAAAGAGTTCAGTTCATTTCAGGACAAACCTGAAAGGATCGTTTCCGTTCTCACGAAGTATGTTTACATAGAAAAGTATTCTGCCGATTTTTCATTTTATTTATTACAAAACTAATCAGAGTTATTAGCAATGTTAGCCGTGTATGTATAAGAGTTCTAGGCCTTTTATAGATTCGCTTGACAGAATAAACGAAATATCAATTGAAGTTTCATCAAATCGCTGATTAATGACAGATAATAATGAAAATTATACATGATAAATACTGTGATATAGGTTGCCTGCCCGATCGACCTCATTTTCTAGCATTATTTCAATTAGCCATTGCATACACGGGCTAGTTTCTTAACAGAGCAAAGATATCAGTACAACAAAAAGAAAGTTTTGTATATGGAAATGTTTGTAGTATCTTAAACATGAGCGTCATATGTGAACATTAGAGTTGGAAAATTTTGTTCAATATGTTTATTTAGCCTAAGCCGTTATCCAATTTTTATCTCGTGACGTTTCTCAGTACAGTGCTCTCTCGTGAGTTATTGTTACTAGTCTACTATTGTGAACATGGGAAATGATAATGACGATGTTTTGATTCTGTGATTTTCTTTGTGTTTCGTGTTTTCTCCTGAGATCTAATCTAACTCCAGTAAATTGTGGACTTACGTACTACACAGAGCTGGATTAAAATATGTCAACAACAGTCAAGCCAGAGTAGTTGGCCTGAGAGCGAAACTTCGCACCATAGGCGCGACCATCTACTGTAATTACATACTGTGGATGTAGATATTTCTTGCTATATGAAACAAATTGAATTGTATGGCATAAAGATTAAGAAAGGCGATTTACATCTCTTGAGGAACCTTCACGTTTTCTGTATGCATTACCATGCTAGGAAAATTACTTTTTTAGTAAGCTTAAATTCCTCTGACTTTATCTACTTAGATATTTAGCCAGATATATATTTCAAGTAAAACACGCTTCATATATTTTACAACACCTCTTGCCAACGTAATTTGTCGGGAATAAAATTATCGTAAGTCAATGATGAAAAATAAATTGAAAAACAGATGTACCGGAAATATTCTCAAGTTGAAGTACACTTCATAAAAACAATTCACATTAACTGAGGAAGTGTCACCTTTTGAAGTTTGTCATGACATGAACTGGGCTAATACATTTACTCAGAGTAATTTCAGTAGTCCTCAGATTGGTAATCATAACATTTTTCATACACATTTACATAAATAATATATCGTGAGCAACAACTAGTATTTAACTCACTTGTTTTTGAGAATAAGTGAACGTGATCCTCCTCACATAATTTCAAGACCACAGTACACAACACGATATCGCAAATAAACCCTTATGTTTACTATAACATATGCCTTAAGTAAGATTTAAACATAGAAAAATCATGAAGTTAAAACAGTTCAGTCTTGGTGAAATAATGGGAGCTTGTTTTTATTGAAATCCGTTCTCGTGATATTGCCCCCTGCAGCTCTCTCCTGAGGTATTGTTGTTAAGAGTTGCAAACACGGTATGGAGTTACGTGATATTTCGTGTTATTTGTTTCGTGATTCGAGATTTTTGGACGATGGTTCGGCCTATAAAAGGGCTTCATGCCATGGTTAGTTCATATTAGCTCTTACCAGCTCCCGTNTTTTTTTTTATTTTTTTTACAGGTCATGAAATTGTTTGGCTTCATGTGATCTCAATGGTAAGGATACAAAATATCATTGGCAAGGTTATCACCCCACACTGTTTTACTACTTTGGGCAATCTGTGGACTGAACATATGTTAACCGACAAGTAAATAAGTGGAATGCTTCATCAAAGTATCAGTCGATACCGGATGTTATCAGACCGGTAGATTTATTTTCCCTCTTCATATATATTGTCAACAGAACCTTCTTAACAATCGGGCAAAAAGTCTAACTAGCTTTTTGGCGTTTGGTTAGAAAGTAAAAGATTAAATTGCAGTGATTCTAAAACTAAAAAACTATATCTTAAGCCATAAGCAAATATAATTACACTGAAAAGCGATCAACTAGTCGTTTCAGTCTATCAAAACGTTTATAATAAAATACAGTTTTATCGGATTTCTAGATTTGACTTTAATTCAGTGTCCGATCAGTTCATATTTTCGTTCTTTCATAGATAAAACTCCTGAACTTTGTCCACAGAGCATACATTTCATTCAAATCTCATTTTGAAGCATCCTCAATAAGTTTCCTGCTTTCAGAACACACTTCCGAGCATTTCCAGTCGCCCTCTTGTTTATTTTAAACTTTCTGGTTTACGCCTTCAGCACCAAACGCAAAATGTCTAAGCAACTTTCCAGCTTTATACATGACCTGACTTCGCTGCAACGCGATTCTTCATATGACTGGTTCAGCTGGTCGCCAACGAGCGCCAGTTTTCCGGCAACAAATTTAATTGCCTCTGCATTTTCTTTATTAGTAAAGCCTCGTTCTGTGCGAGCAGAGAGGTCACTTGGGTGATTCATAATTTGCTCAGATTATTAAAAATTCCCCTAATGGTCTGCAGATCCTGTGAAAAGAAGCATAAAATTATTACATTCAGTAAAATGCCCCGCTGTTTTCGCTGACCCAGCATGATCTATCGCAACGTCGATATGAAGGGATTCTGAAGATATGAAGTTGGGAGTCGGTGTTACAAAACGTAATGTTTGAAGAAAAATCTGAGTAAGGAATGAAATAGCGATGATCGGGCTGGCAAAGCAAAAATCCTTCAACGAGACAAATCTTTCTCTTATGCAGTTTCATTTTGATGCAAATTGCCAGAATATTTTGTTAAAATGACCTCTAAAAATCCAACTTACCTAGCCAAGAATGATTTCGAAGGGATCAATGTTTCAGTGTTCCTCTCCTCACCGAAGCTGGTAGTTATGAATTCATCAAGGTGTGGGACCCTTTTATTGCCCACGGCAACCTCCAAAAATCACGAAACACGAAACAAATAACATAAAATATCACGCAACACAAAATCGTGTTTGTAACCCTTAGCAACAATACTTCACGATAGAGCTTTTTGGAACAACATCACGAGACAAAATTTTAGCCAAAAAAAGTTCAGATTATACTATTAGTGCATAGATTTCAACCATTTGAACTGTATTTGTTCACATGATACTACGAACCTCTCATAGTAAAGGTGAAAGCTCGCTCTGTGATCTTTAAGTTATCTGCTGTTTTCATGAGGTTAGTAAGGACGCACACCTTAAAAACAATCAAAGCGACATAGATAATGGTTTTTACTCACGTTATCTTTTTCATGCAAATGTTTTTGACAAATATTATGATTATTATTCTGATGACTGCAAGAATAGCTAAGAAAGAGTTCAGTTCATTTCAGGACAAACCTGAAAGGATCGTTTCCGTTCTCACGAAGTATGTTTACATAGAAAAGTATTCTGCCGATTTTTCATTTTATTTATTACAAAACTAATCAGAGTTATTAGCAATGTTAGCCGTGTATGTATAAGAGTTCTAGGCCTTTTATAGATTCGCTTGACAGAATAAACGAAATATCAATTGAAGTTTCATCAAATCGCTGATTAATGACAGATAATAATGAAAATTATACATGATAAATACTGTGATATAGGTTGCCTGCCCGATCGACCTCATTTTCTAGCATTATTTCAATTAGCCATTGCATACACGGGCTAGTTTCTTAACAGAGCAAAGATATCAGTACAACAAAAAGAAAGTTTTGTATATGGAAATGTTTGTAGTATCTTAAACATGAGCGTCATATGTGAACATTAGAGTTGGAAAATTTTGTTCAATATGTTTATTTAGCCTAAGCCGTTATCCAATTTTTATCTCGTGACGTTTCTCAGTACAGTGCTCTCTCGTGAGTTATTGTTACTAGTCTACTATTGTGAACATGGGAAATGATAATGACGATGTTTTGATTCTGTGATTTTCTTTGTGTTTCGTGTTTTCTCCTGAGATCTAATCTAACTCCAGTAAATTGTGGACTTACGTACTACACAGAGCTGGATTAAAATATGTCAACAACAGTCAAGCCAGAGTAGTTGGCCTGAGAGCGAAACTTCGCACCATAGGCGCGACCATCTACTGTAATTACATACTGTGGATGTAGATATTTCTTGCTATATGAAACAAATTGAATTGTATGGCATAAAGATTAAGAAAGGCGATTTACATCTCTTGAGGAACCTTCACGTTTTCTGTATGCATTACCATGCTAGGAAAATTACTTTTTTAGTAAGCTTAAATTCCTCTGACTTTATCTACTTAGATATTTAGCCAGATATATATTTCAAGTAAAACACGCTTCATATATTTTACAACACCTCTTGCCAACGTAATTTGTCGGGAATAAAATTATCGTAAGTCAATGATGAAAAATAAATTGAAAAACAGATGTACCGGAAATATTCTCAAGTTGAAGTACACTCCATAAAAACAATTCACATTAACTGAGGAAGTGTCACCTTTTGAAGTTTGTCATGACATGAACTGGGCTAATACATTTACTCAGAGTAATTTCAGTAGTCCTCAGATTGGTAATCATAACATTTTTCATACACATTTACATAAATAATATATCGTGAGCAACAACTAGTATTTAACTCACTTGTTTTTGAGAATAAGTGAACGTGATCCTCCTCACATAATTTCAAGACCACAGTACACAACACGATATCGCAAATAAACCCTTATGTTTACTATAACATATGCCTTAAGTAAGATTTAAACATAGAAAAATCATGAAGTTAAAACAGTTCAGTCTTGGTGAAATAATGGGAGCTTGTTTTTATTGAAATCCGTTCTCGTGATATTGCCCCCTGCAGCTCTCTCCTGAGGTATTGTTGTTAAGAGTTGCAAACACGGTATGGAGTTACGTGATATTTCGTGTTATTTGTTTCGTGATTCGAGATTTTTGGACGATGGTTCGGCCTATAAAAGGGCTTCATGCCATGGTTAGTTCATATTAGCTCTTACCAGCTCCCGTGTGGAACAACAGAGTCGAACTTCAGCAAAAAATCAAGCTGAGAATTGAGAAGGATACAGAACTCTGGGTAAGTTTGTTTCCAGAGGTATATGTTTCTAGAATATTTTAGCAATATTGCAATGAGACAACGTAATGATACAAACTAACGAGTTAAGCATGCCTTAAGGGCTGAAGTCACATTTCTGTGATATTAATTTACTTCCAACATTAAGACCAATATTTAAACATGAAACGATTTTACGATTTGTGTTTACAGGAACTACTTATCATAAGGGCAAATTGTCACTTGCAATAATTTGAGCAAATCATGGATCGACCAAGTGACATCTCTGCTTACACAGAACAAGGCATTGCTGTGGACTCAGTCAAACATCAAAACACTGAGGTGATTCAAACTGTTGCTAACAGACTGGCGATCATCGGCGACGAGTTGAGTCTGTCATACCAAGACTTATCTTGCAGCAGTCTTAAAAAATTCAAGTCATGTGCCACGTTGGAAGGTTGTTTGAACATTTTGCTATCGGTGCTGAAGGCTTGAAACTGAAAATTTAAACAAATCGCTGAAGCCAAACCCAGTTCGGAGATGCACGGAAAAAAATGAAAGCAAGGGACGATTTCACTGAATAGATTTTGGAGTCAGTGCACAGAGAGCAGTTCAAACCCTGTTAAGTTGCTGTGTATGGATGGAACTAGATTGAAAAGAGTCCTTGACTCAAAAGTAAATTCTGTTCGACAAAATGAAGTATTTTTCATAAAAATTTTGAAACGAAATTGAACCTATCGATGCTTATTGTTATTACTTTTTGCTAATGGCGGAATATATATATATTTTTTGTACTGAAAAACTCTGCATGCAATATAAATTTTACTTTCTTAAATTATATTATTACAAGAAAGATTAATGTAACTGACAAAAACACATGACAGAATGTTAGGATGACCAGATTTATGTTGAGAAAATAGATAACGTAAAAATAAACGTACCAGTCCAATAACCTGAGGTATATACTGTCCTTGAATGTAACAGACCGCTTATTTACTCGCCAGGTTAACAAGTTCAATCCCAACTTTGCCCCAGGCAAAAAATATCAGTTACAAACTTGCCAATAAATTTGTACTCTGATAATTATAATTAAACCCGTGGAAACTTTACATCGATGTAAAAATCTTGGCCACGAAAACAGAAAAATTTGCATATAGCCTCTCAGCAGCTGAAAACGATTTGAAAGCGATAAGTGCTAAATATCACAAGGCGATGTTGAAAAGAAAGCGAACCAATGAGGAAATAATGCTTTTAACGACTGGCACAATTATTTCTCGTAAACAATCAATCAAATACGATAATTCTCCATTCGTCAGTCAGTTAAGCTAAACTGTCATTGGCTCGGCTTGCTTCATAAAGAATACTGGTAAAAATGTGTAATTACGAAAAAGAATATACATTCATTACTTCTAAAGGTTTGGTAGGATCCTAAGAAACTCTACAATAGCCATAATTCATGCCAAATACTCACCGGTGGAAACGATATATTTTTTCAAGTATTTTGATAACTAAACATTATGAGAATATACGGAAATATACGGAAATGCGAAATAAAGGCGTACTTTTCAGTAACTATCTACGTTCTTCATTTTTTTTTTTTCTAACACGAATTCAACATTTCCTGAAATTTAAGTTCAGAAATAATATATCTGAATACGCACGAAAATTAAGGAAAAAACTTTGAAATTTGTTATCAACTTAGTATTTCAAAAAGCAATCGAGTCCTCCTATATATTTCTTTTCGTATTATCGGAAAAGACAATATCGTATTTAGGAGCGTTGAATGCAACATGCAGATAATCTATTATATTTGGGGTAATAGGCGCGAAAAACCGCTTGAAACGGCACAGCGTAGCACGAAACATTTTAAACGGTGATATTTGAGCAAGCAATTTTCGTTAAACTTAATTAACAGAAATAAGAAATAATAATAAAAAAAATTCGTTAACAATTCAGGATATCGCGAGATTTAGTAAACTAGAAAAAGGAATATGTTTGCAATCGTTTATATTGATTAACTCTCACTTATAAGCAAAATACTTTTAGGAAATGAGAAATCGTAAGAAGCAATTTGACCCAAAACAATACCCAAAGATGAAATTGCAAGAATGGTTTTCAACTGAGTCAAAATGTTTAGATAAATTATTTTATGTTAGCATTGGAAGTGTATTCATCCTTGTAGGAAATTGTCATCTCTTTATCTATTTAGCAAACAGTGAGATTTTTATGTCTAATCTGAAAACAGGGAACTTGAAATACACGTCTACTGTTCGAATTATCGGGCAGAAAAAGGTAAAAGCTCTCACTTCAAAAACTGAGAAAGTGAAAGCTTAAAATTGATCACTGAATGTGGCTTTCGTCATATTTACTCTACGAAAAAACAATTTAATATTGTCAAGCTGAGATGTAATGTACAAAAGTACTCAAAATTTAAATACCTGATAATCCTCAATTCGCTATTGTTAATCATTTTTCAGATTAAAATGCAAATTTTTGTCGGTAAACGTTTGATTGAACACTTTTCGTCTTTTTAATAGCTGCTTTTAAACTTTAAGTCAAATGCATGTATGTTTCAATTACCAAAAGGCAGCTTTGTCAACCAATTGAATCAGACATCCTGCTTATGTTTGCATTGCTTGTTCAACAATTTAGTTGAGCCGAATGCCCTCGTTTTCAAGTATTCTTTTGATTGGTTCTTCAGCCTGTTAGTTATTTTTACAGTAAAGAGAGGCAACAGACATGACAGAATGAAGTTTTGTTGCTTCTTTAACATCAATATCAAAATATTGGAAAGGCACGTTATATTATATAAGCAACTCGACTGATCATTTTTATTTACAATGTTAATGAAGTATGTCCATTATTTTTGGTCGTGATGTTGCCTAGAGCAGACCTCTCGTGATGTGATCAGTGTTAGTAGCGCTGCGTGATATTTTGGCGTGAGGTTTTGTTTGTGTTTCATGATTCAGAACCAGATAAATCAGAAACAAGAAGCTGGGGCAATCGATAAATGCAAAAACTTGAAAACGTGTTCCTACATGAAAGGGGGGAGGAGATTTGGACTCACGCTTTATCCCGTGCAACAATCAGTCGCCAACACCTTTGATAATCTAATTTTATACAGAGATTCCAATGG